GAAGAAGAGGAGGATGAACCGACAGACGAGGAAGAGGATGAGCAAGAGGTCCCAAAGAAAGGAGCCAGGAGACTGCACCCGAGCACCGGTGCCAGGAAGAGGCCAGCAGCTGAGGATGAGGAGAAAGACGATGAAGAGGATTCGCCAGAGGTCCCAAAGAGAGGAGCCAAGAAGAACAAGTCGAGCCCAGTGAACAAGAAGAAGGCAAAGATAGAAGAAGAGGAGGATGAGGAAGAGGATGGTCCCACGATCGAGCCAAGTGAGTCTCCAGACATGCAGGAGTCCGAGGAGGATACAGAGCTGAAATCCCCGCCCAAGCCGAAGGCAAGTGCCAAAGGCAAAGCCAAGGCAAAAGCCAAATCTCAAGCCAAAGCTAAAGCCAAAGCTAAAGCAAAGTCCAAGAGTTCTGCTGCACCCAAGAAAAGGGTCGGCCGCCCACCCAAGGCAAACAACGATGATAAAGAAAACGGTGCCAAGACGATGATCTTTGCAAGGAGGAAGAAGCCAGAAACGAGCCCAGCTTGTTTGCGATTTCAGGCTATTGTCAGCGTTTTCCGGTCGGATATCGTGCCGAAGCTTGTGGATGCTGAGCTTCCAGTGTCTTGCTGGGAGGTAGGTGTGCTGAAAACACACATGTAACACACATGCAAGATTTCATGAAGCCTGTGCTGTCAAGTCTACTGTGCCTTTCAGGAGCCCTGGCTGAATCTAGCCAACCGTGTCTTCCAAAACGATGATGACTTCGGGGACGACCTCAGGACCCTGGAGTGCTATGAGGCTCAGCTTTTCCCCAAGGTCAACCGATTCCTGAAGATGGCTCTGGAAGAGCTCTAAATGTGTTCCGTGGCCCGACGGAAAGGTTGCTAGTGCTGAGAGCGGGCACCTGCATTTTGCAGCTACGATGATGTGTTTGAAGCAAGACGTGCATGTGAGCATGCGCGCGTTTTGGGGAGGAGGGGGCAAAGCATGTGCTAACACGTGCTGCCACGGGTAGCCCTGCATGTGTAACTCATGCAGATCGACAGATCGTGGGGCGACTTTTGTGTCTCCGGCTGTGTGTCTAGATGCTTTCAACCTCGACGCTGCTGGAGTGAAGAAACGAATCTAGCTCATGCTGAGTGACTGCACTGCTAGCCTCGAAACCATGCATAGGCTTCTGAAGAGCAGAGCTGGTCTATGTTGGCACATGGTATGAACTCCAGAAGCCCTCAACAAAGTGGCCTGTCGCATGAAGGCTCTGGCCACATGCCCCGCGACAGCATCAATCTCTGGAAGTATGGTACCGGGCCGAGTGCCCCACGTCGTGCACCTTTGGAGTTGCTCGTGGGGTTCTGGGCTTTCTAAGCTTGTCCTTATCGATTTCGAGATCTTAATCGGAGGGGTTCTTAATTTGTGTCGTTCAGCTGACTTAGATAGATAATGGGCTGTACTTGAGACATGCAGGTATCTTCATTGCAGGGATTGTTTCTGTACTTCAGCCGATAACAAAATTAAATTGGGCTAACCAATTGAAACAGTTGCAGATTACACATGTTAGTAGGACAGGGTACTTGGAAACTAGTAGCTCCGAACGGTTTGTTATGACTTGCAGAAATGTCCGTATTATATAGGGGTCTATGTATGTACATGTGTTTATACATATACATGTACATATGTAGTTCTTGCACCACCTTATAATTAATGTAAATAGATGGTGCTGTTCTATGGGTCTAGATAAATTAAATGCCCATGTACAGTAAGCAAGCCACCACACTGTGCAGGGGGATGTGCAGCGGTCACTTGACTAGCCAGGGCCTTCGCGAGGATCGGTGACAGTAGGAATGCTTTATAACAAGTAAGCTAGCATGTGGCTGGGTCGAGAGGTCGGGGTCCTTATACGAGTCGTGCAAGGTTACTTTCTGGGAGCTTGGGGTAACAAATCTCCGGGGACCTTTACGTTGGCGCTTCTCACTGCAGCTCAGACTTCGGAACCTGGTAACGCCTTCTTACAATCCCCATAATTCCACCAAAAGAGAACAAAAACCTGCTTGTGCATATGCAAGTATACATTCCTGAAACCCGGCATGCTGCTATGCTGCCTGTATCTGACTACCATTATAAGACTACCCAAACAAAGCCCAAACCTTTCTCTGAAGCCAAGCGCAACGTACTGGGATTTGCCTTGTAAGGGGCTCCGTAGAAACCACAGCATAATCGGAATTACTTGCCCGTGATTGCCAAAAGTGCCTATGTACTTGTTCCGTATATGCTTATATAACATTAAGTAGGAACTTCTTTGTTCTACACGGGTCACGGATTTGCGTCCTACCTCCTATGTGCTACATTTAATTTTAATTTGTGTAGACATGTCCCTCAGTTATCATAGACGACCCTCCAAAAAGCCCTCCAATAAGACCCCTTTCATAATGTCTCAACCAAACAGTCCTGCAACACATCCTTATTAAGGCCCATATTTAGTGTGTATATAAAGCCTATACCATATATAAGCCCTATATATATAAACATATAAGCCCTCTATAGAACCTGTAAAAGATATTTCAAGATGTAGATATAAGCCTAATACCCGAAAGTGTTGCTCAATCCCAGGCTGATTATGGCTGATTGACGTATGGAGTGCTTCGAAACTTGTGTTTCGATGTCTAAAGCCAATCCTCACTGGCAGTACACCTGCTGTGTTCCAGCTGATATGAACATGCTGTCTTGACTACGGTACATCTGAACATGGATGGCCATGACATGCATGAGTTTGTCTCACAAAAACATCTAGAAATCCGTACAAAGTACTGTGCAAGTAAGTGAATGTCTCCTACACATGCAAATCGACTTGCTGCTAGAAGCCCGAGAGCAACCTTCCAAAGCTCGACAGTGCAGCCATGTCCCCGGAAGATTTCGATATCTTTCTTCGTCGCTTGTTCTTCTTGGGAGCACCGAAGGTTGCCTGGCATGGTGTGATTCATCTTCGCGGCTGTTTCTCTGTAAATGTATGTAGGAGAAAAGTTGGGAGGTCTCATCCAGCAGTGGTTCCGTCCTGCTTACGCTGACACCAGTCAGAGTACATCGAGATGTCAGTCCGAACACGTACTGGCTATGTTCTTCATGGGAACGCATATAAGTGGCTCCTCTTCTGGATGTCATAAATTAAATTACAGGTTCTTTCTAGTTACCCAGGCCCATGCAAAGTTCTAGACAAACCCGATCGATCTGCATGTCCTGCTCATATGACTATTTAGATCCATATATAGAGTGCTTTTGTCGACCAATATAACCTGTGCACCTCTATATGCTCATCTAGTTGGAAAGCTAGTTTGCTCTGTATATCTCCGTTCGTGTGCCTATATACTCCCCCTTCTTAGCCCTCATATTACATCGCACAAACACTGCCCTGTCTGGCTCACTGTCTGTCTCACTTTGTAGATGTCGTATTTCCGTTGTCAGTCTCTCCACGAGCAAGGTGATCATCTTCTTGGTTTTGCTCGTATGGTGGCTGGAGATTTCCCCTGACACCGGGCTCGAGTTCCTGGACTACTTTTCCGGAAAGGCTCGCTTGTCTCTGATGGCTGAAGGGGCTGGTTATCGAGTACAAGCTTACGACAAGACTTATGGTGATGAGCGTGCCAAGAAAAACAAGAAAAGATCGGCCATGGATCTCAATTCAAACGCAGGAATGGTGATACTCGCTCTGCCTACTCTGTATTGTGTACTCTTGCTTCTACATCACAAATAGGCTTGTAGATTTGCAAAGTTAACACGTTTTGGTTCTCAGCTCAGGATGGCCATCTCGTTGATTTTGCGGTCCAAACTGGACAATGTCGTGGCGGCCCTGGGTGTGGTATGCTCAACCTGGGTGCCGGTTAACAGAGGCACGTCGAAGCGCTGCTACCTGTGCCCACACGGGGATGAGTCAGTGGTCAGTGTTCGCAAAGCCAACAAGCTTATGGCCAGGAGAGATGGATATGTAGCACTTGTACTTAAAAGAGCACTTTAGGATGTTCTTGGGCAATCTAGTGAGGAAAACTCCGAAGCCACGCCCCCCTCACGTGACAGGAGCACCATCTTGATGTACTTGG